TATAGAAATAGAATTCCCCACGTGACTGCCTTGGGCCCATTATTTAATTCATCAGGGTTTGAATTTCTAACGGTTAAGGAAAGGCACCATCTTTTTTGCTATGCAGCACTTTGCAGAATGCGACCTAACTTTGTACAGAAGCAAATGTGACTATACTTTGCATAATGTGATTTAAATGCGTTAGTGTTTCCCACAAATCTTTGCAGCCATTCATTTCCCGAGGGAGCTGGAGTGAGACATCACAGCACCAGGGTGATTGTCACTCCCTGCATCCCACCCACCTCCTTACTGACCAGCCGTGCAGACTGAGCAGTCGGTCCCCTGAGCTGGCCTGGAGCGAGGACACAGGTTTCTGCTAGTCTGATAGGGCGCTTGTCCATGGTGCTCCCTCACAGGTGTGCTCCTGCTAGGCTGTCCAGGGGTCCTGATGTGATCATGTTTTTCATGCTCAGTGTCTCCCACCATGGAACCCGCTGGAGGCACCATGTAATGCTGGGGGGCTAAAATGGGTGATTTTAATCTACTTGCAGGTGGTTCCTTAGAAATGGTCATTGCTCAAGATGAAAACCTCCCGGAAGATGTTGTGAGAAGCTTTGGGATTGACCTGATTACTGGATTGCATCATCTTCATCAACTTGGCATTCTCTTTTGTGACCTTTCTCCTGGGAAGGTAATTCATTAATATTTTGATTTCCTAATCGCTTGTGCCTTAGTTAACGGTGCTTTCTCAATGGTACGTTTATTTTTAGATATAATTTTAGGTATAGAACATCTTGAAATTTTGCGTTAACATCTATATATAAAAGGCTGATATGCTAAGTGTCCATCTGGGTAATGATATCACATAGCAACGCCCGGCTTCCTCTACCTAGTGACTAGCCTCCTTGGTTTCTTCAGCCCAGGAACACGACTTGCTTTATAGCCAGGTGGGAACATTTCACACTGTAACCACATGTCTGTGAAGCATTTTCCTGTGCCCCATCTCATTTGATCCTCACAGAAATCCTGGAGTAGGTAGATAGGAGACTCGGTGGAATCCTATTTTCTTTTCATTAGCCGGAAAACGGAGATTTAGAAAGCTTAGAAACTTGACCCGACTGAAAAGAAGTAAGAAATGGTGGGCCTTAAAAATGACTCCAGGTTTTCTCACTGTGCAGAATATAGTCAAACACTACTGCAGTTAAATATTTTACCCTTTGTTCTCCCTGCATGATCTACAATAATAATCTGCTTTGTGTTGATATTTACTGCTGTGTTGTTGATAATGACCTGAAAGAGAAGTTAGGGTGCTTCACTGGACTGGAAAAAGTTTAGCTAAATCAGAAAGCAGGTCTAATTAAGCAAGTTTGTTCTATATAAAAGGCTAAGTTGACTCACGCATGCACGATACTTATAAAACACTCACTGGTGCCAATCGCACGCATGTGTTTCCATCTATCATTGTTGATCATGAATTTGGTTGACACTTCTATTATGGAGAAAGGGCAAATAGCAATATTAAAATATTTCTACCAGTTAATTTCCTTTCAATGCAATTTGTGCACCGGGCCACTAGTTTTTTAATAAAAGGAAACTGTATTTTAGCTACCTAGTTAGCTACCCATTGAAGTCCTTGTAGAATGCAATTTCCCCACCTTTCAGAGCTCTGTGAGTAATTATTATTGCTGCTGACCTGTATTGTGAATGGTGAGGTCCATAGCTCTATGAAATAATTCTTAATTCTTACAGTACACAATTATGAGCCATTACTTTAGTTTGCTAATGGAATTTTTGGCTATTATGGATCATATATCTTCTTTTTGGGTTAAGCTAATCATCCATAACTAAATGCGATTCAGTGTAGTGGTCATGAAACCTGCTTAGTTTCCTGGTCACAGTTGACACTGACATTTAGGAGCCCTGTTCCATGGACAAATCCCCCCCCCGCCCCCCCCCGCCTTAGTTTCTTGTCTCTAATATAAAAATGGGAATTTCAGGGTGAGTGTAAGGCTCACATGTTGTTTTTAGGAGAAGCTTCGGGGACCCTTTTTGGTGCACAGTGTGCCCTCAATCAGGCACAGTTATCTTTACAAGGACATACTCTTAGGGATTGTATTGATTACGGCTCTGAGTTGATACTGTCCCTTTGGTAATGTGTACACAATAAAATGGAAAATTGAATGTTTCCTTGTTAAACATTATTAGAAGCCGTCTGTATGAGAACATAATTAAACCTTAAAAAAATCCATAAAACTCCTCGTAACAGATAAAAATCCTTGTTTGGAATATTCATATACTTGCCTGAAGTCTACAGCCATTTAATTGTGGTTACAGGCCTGAAAGCAGCCATAGGCAGTATATAAATGCACAGGTGTGGCTTGTTTCAATAAAACTTTATTCATGGACATTGACATTTGAATTTTATATAATTCTCACGTCAAAAACTATTATCTTATTGCAGTTTTTTTCAACCATTTAGAAATATAAAACCACTCTTAGCTCATGCCTGTGCAGAAACAGGTGCTGGCTGGGATTTGACTGAGGGGCCGAGGCGTGCCAACCCCTGTGTGGGAGGTGTTTAATGAGGTCTAGTGTCAGCTGTTTATACTAGTAATGGGACATTCAGGCTGACTTGTAATGTAACTTTTATTCCAGATCTGGGGTTGGCAGAGTCCGGGCAGGATGCCCGTTCCTGTAAGTGAGGTTTTATTGGAACATAGCCACACCCTTTCGTTCTATATTGTTGGTGGCTACAGAGTTGAGTAATCAGGACAAAGACCTTATGGCTTGCAAAGTCTGAAAGATTTATTAAAAAAAAATTGCTGACCTTCCCACTGGTTCTCAAAGTGTGTTCCCTGGACCAGCAGCATTAGTGTTCTCTGGGACTCATTGGAAATGTGGGTTCTTGGACCCATCTGAGACCTGTGGAATCAGAAACTCTGGGAGAAGGGACTAGTAGTTCTTCTTAACAGATCTTCCAGGGACTTCTGGTGCTCAAACACTTTTAAAAGTCACTGGGGACTTGTAACAGACATCCTTAGTATTTCTGATTAGAAGTTAAGGGCAAACTTTAAATTGCTTTTGAAAACAAAAAGCCAGCTGACTCATTGCAACTTCCCATAAATATTTTTAATGGCTCTGGAGAAAAAATTAAAAGTAACAGGACACTGGTTCCTGGCATGGTTTCAACACTCAACAGATAACTTCTAGTCACAACTTATTAGCAGACGTGAGCGCTTAGCACATGCCAATCGCTATTCAAAGCCCTTTGCACGCGTAACCTCAGCTATTCCTTACCACAGTCTGCAGAGTTAAGTGTGCTTTTTTCGTTTTATAGGGGAAGAGAGTGAGATTTAGGAAGGTTAAGTAGATTCTCCAGGTCAGATTGCCTGTGAGAGTTTTAGGCCTCTAACTTCAGAGCCTTAGTCTTAGCCATACATTATATAAACACCACCTGACAGGTGTGCTTTCAGAGCCTCCCTCAGTGTCAGTAGAGTGTACGGATTGCTCCATATACACTGCTCTTAAGAGCCCGAGGTTTCCCTCTGTGGTTATGTGATGTGTTCATTATATACATCTGAGAGCGAACAGTTTAATATTTGATTCCATTACTATTAAAATGTTGGATTTCTTTAGCTGTTTTAAAATTTTTTTTTCTAATATATTTTTGATTTCAGAGGAAGGGAGAGGGAGGTATGGAGGGAAAGAGAGAAACATCAATGATAACAGAGAATCATTGATTGGCTGCCTCTTGCCTGCCCCCTACTGGGGATCGAGCCCACAACCCCGGGCATGTGCCCTTGACCTGAATCGAACCTGGGACCCTTCAGTCTGCAGGCCAACACTCTATCCACTCAGCCAAACCGGCTAGGGCTGTGGTCAGTAAACCGCGGCTCGCGAGCCACATGTGGCTCTTTGGCCCCTTCAGTGTGGCTCTTCCACAAAGTACCACGTTGAATTTATATTAGTTCACACAAACACTCCATCCATGCCCATGTGCAAGCGCCGGTACAGTTTAAGAACCCACTGTGGCCCTCGAGTCAAAAAGTTTGCCCACCCCTGCTCTATCCACTGAGCCAAACCGACTAGGGCTCTTTAGCTTCTTCTTTTTTTTTTTTCAAAGTAAGCATTTAATTTTCTAAGTTGTGATGAAGCAAGAAATGCTTCAAAGTGCTTTAGTGAGATTACGAGGTGCTGCGGGAAGTGTAAGTTGGGTTAGGTGCCGACCATGTTCATTTTTAATCTGTATAGATTCTCTTGGAAGGGCCCGGCACGTTGAAGTTTAGTAATTTCTGCCTGGCCAAAGTGGAAGGTGAAAATTTGGAAGATTTCTTTGCTTTGATGGCAACAGAAGAAGGAGGAGGTGATAGTGGGGAACATGTGCTGAAGAAAAATATGAAAAGTAGAACCCGAGGTACGTGGAGAGTTTTTAGATCCTAACGCTTGCTGTGGGCCACCCAGGTCACCTTAGGGGATGATGTTGACCTTTTATTTTGCTAGTCAAATAATGGATGCAAAATAACAATGACGAGAAGTCCGGATACAGGGATGGCTTTGTCGACGGCCTAAGGTTTTCCATGAGGATCGAATGCTGTGTAGGCACCGGAACCCCTGACAGCCCGGATCTCATCCTGACCTCTGTATGTCCCTGACCACACGTCAGAACATCAGCAGCTGGGGTTTTGCCTCACTCCTGGCCGTATCCTCCGCACTTGGCACAGTGCCTGGCACACGCTGGTGGCTCCGTAGTTATTTGTTTCACATGGTTGAGCAGCTGATACTTGCAATTAAGGAAGACTTTTAGGGGTTCACTCTTGGGCGGTGGTTTTGACAGTGAGCTGCGTCCTGGGGTGTTAGCTGTAGTTGAGCCAGTGTGCAGTGCTGGGTGCCGTCTCTGCCTCGATGACTGAGGGGGTGTCTGGGGCGGAGCCTCCGTCAGCCCCGGTCTTTGAGTGTCTGAGCATCAGCCCTCGGCTGACCTGGGCCGCACTGTGGTTTGCATGATAAATAACTTTGTTGTAATTTAGGGGAATGTGGGGTGTTACTGCTGCGTAACTTAACACATCCTGTCCAAGATATTCTTTTTTTTTTTTTTTTTAATATAGTTTATTGATTTTTACAGAGAGGAAGGGAGAGAGAGATAGAGAGTTAGAAACATCGATCAGCTGCCTCCTGCACATCTCCCACTGGGGATGTGCCCGCAACCCAGGTACATGCCCTTGACCGGAATCGAACCTGGGACCTTTCAGTCCGCAGGCCGACGCTCTATCCACTGAGCCAAACCGGTTTCGGCCTGTCCAAGATATTCTAACCAGAGCTGCTTTTCTTTGGACTATTTAAATTGTTAATTTCAAAGAGGATAAATATGCCTATATGTGCCACACCTCTGACATCGCTGGGTTTTTGAAATAACTCTGTTTATATTTTGACATATCCTGGTAAAGTGGAACCTTACCATTAGGAAACATTAAACCGTGTGAAATGCACATGAAGTTATGTTCATGTGCATATTCTCCTCATTTTCACCTCGTCGGGTCTCTCCCAGGTGGGTGTGTGGTGAGAACAGTACAAACGCCTAAGGAAGCTGCTGTTTGTGCTTTGTGTTTAGGATCGCTTGCTTACACAGCACCCGAAATTGTGAAGGGCACCGACTTCTCCGTCGCCAGCGACCTCTGGTCTTTGGGCTGTCTGCTGTATGAGATGTTCTCAGGTGATTACTTTCTGCTTCATTTTCAAGTTAACAGCTGGATAAACACAAAGGTGAAATCTGTAGTTTGTAAACATTTTACCTCTAAGATGTGAAAAGGCTGCTTATTATTTTAACTTAATTTTTTAAAAATATATTTTTTATTGATTTCAGAGAGGAAGGGAGAGAGAGAGAGATAAAAACATCAAATGATGGGAGAGAATCATCGATTGGCTGCCTCCTGTACGTCCCCCGCTGGGCATGTGCCCTGACTGAGAATTGAACCATGACCTCCTGGTTCATAGGTCGCTGCTCAACTACTGAGCCACACCAGCCGGGCAAAGGCTGGTTTTTCTAATTTCTGTCTATATGATTTTGGCTGGAGTGCTTGGAGTCTAGGCACATTCAGGTCCCTAGGACCTTTTTGACCGATAGGTATTTTTTGTGATGATCTGGAATGTTGAAATGTGCCTAACTATTAAAGAACTGTGCTTATTAGTAGAAATTCTTGCAAAGGTACCTGGGACTGAATTATTCCCATGTGTCCAGTAGCCCATGTAAACCGTGGGTCCTGGTAGGTTCCATATGTGAATTTGTATATTGGTTGGGGTGACAGATTTTGAATTATAGAAATATAAAAATACGTAGTGTGCCTGGTATATACTAGACATTCAATAATTAGTTATCACTACATATGCATTTGTAAATTGTGTAATGCTGAACTATCTGCAGTTGGTTTTGTTTTTTTTTTAGAATAATTGGTGATGACAAATGTATTTAATTGACAAGTTTTCATGTAATTTCAGGAAAACCTCCATTCTTCTCAGAAAGTGTTTCAGAAGTAATTGAAAAGATTGTTCATAAAGATCCTTCGCCACCTATTCCAAAAGGTAGGATTTTTGTTATAAATGCAGTTCATTTACACTTTACACTGACTACAGGTGCACTTTTGTTGTCTATTTTTATTGATTCATAACTTCCCAATTTACATTTTATAAATGTTCCCTAATTGATATTTTTAGAAATGTTAACGTTCCCTTTGCCATTTTTTTTTTAGATACTTAAATGGAAAAGTAGTAGTTTCCCTCATTTAAAATCACGAATTACTTTGCCCTCCTATATCAAGAGATGTCTGGCTTACAGATTGAGAAGTCAGACTTTTATTTATTATTTTGTCTCTGTGTCGTTTACCTAATTTGGACTCATGTCCTTTGTAGTTATGCCTGGTTAGTGTTTGCATAGTAACGAATCGGGCATTCTCAGCCCTGGTCTTGATGATCAGAATGCTGCCCTGACAAGTTGTTAGAGCCTTTGGAAGGAGAGATAGTGTAGTATTTTAAGTGTCGGGATTTTAATCACACAAATTGTGGTTAATATAACCATCTACTGTTAACTTGAAGGAAAGGAAAGAAAAACAAAAGCAGATACAAACATAATAAAGCACTTTGCTCTACACCATAAGAAAAGTGAATCTTAAGCCACATAAACGAAAACAGAACTTTACAAAAAATAATAGTGGGAGTTTTTAAGAGAAAAAAAAATCGGAAGTCATTCATGGAAGAAATAGGAATACAGGATATTTTCAATTTTTCAAGAATCACCCCAGGTGAAAAAAACAAAACTCTTGATATTTTGAAAATAATCTGTATTTCTTAAAACAAAATGATGCATTTTTCCCCTTTCATTAACGTAGTCTTATTTTTTGTAGAAATCAGTCATTTGTATTTCTTCTGATGACTTTTCAATACAATATTGATTATTGTTTTCTCCTATAAGTTAAAGGTTTTTATGCAGGGAAGAAACCTGGAAATGAGGTGCCAAAGGTCTGGTCAGGGTACCACTGGTGGCCCAAGCTCGCTATGTCACAGTCCTTCATCACACGGTGGCCAGAGTGCCTGACAGTGCCTGGCCATGTCGTTGGCCATTGTCTTCATGGCTTCTTATTTTAACCATGACTGATAATTGGGCCGTGGTGTGTGTGTATCTGTGTAATTTAAAAAGGCAAAGCTTGGAGATTAAGACAATTGGACAATATCGTAATGTGATGCTTATTATTTTTCCTGCTAAAATTAAAAGGAATTACAAGTATTCTAATCATAGTATATTAAAGCAAAGTTGGTCAAATTAATAATAATACCTCAGAAAATGGGGCATAATTACTAGTGGAAGACAAGGGTATGAGTTTGTTAGGCCAGTAATCCTTACCTGGGGTTAGACAACCAAGTAATTTTAGAAGTTGGTCGAAACTTAGTTTTCTGTAGTATAGGGAAAAGATATTAAAAAAAATTGTGCCCCTCTCCCCTCTATGTAAATGGAAGCTTAATTGTTATTAATAGACTCAGTGTTCTCTTTAAAAGAATTTATATGCTTAAAGTACCATAACTTTAAATGTTGATGTAGGGTACGTATTCATCTCCTTATCACTTTTTTTTTTTTTTTTCATTTTTGGGACTTAATTTGTGTGCAGATCCTTCTCTTCCTAAAGCGTCTCCAGATTTTATGAATTTGCTGGATGGTTTGCTTCAAAAGGATCCTCAGAAAAGGTCTGCATGGATGGTATTGTAATATGAACGATGAGCGGGATCTGTTTTTTTCTTTCATGCACTTCTGGAATGGCACTGTTCTTCATGCACACAGAGGGGTTCAAACTACTTTTTACAAAAGGAAATCTGAGTTTCACTCAGGGTTTTTCTTTGCCCGTGTTTTTAATGATGAGGAATTTTAAGTCATTTTCTCCTTTAATGTATTCAATAGTTGCCTAATACCTGGATGGATTTTCTTGTAACTCCTGAATCCAAGCAGCTTTGTTCTTTCCATTGGACACTTCAGGCTAAAGCTCCCTTTGACTGTCGGACTAGGGAGGGTACTGTCGAGATGGCTGATGCAATAACACTAACTGGGTGGTATTTTAATGCGATATATTTTTATGATACTCCCGTCATCATGGAGACATCAAGTGACAGGAAAATTGCACAGTGTGACAATTCTGTGTTGCAGCGTGGGGAGGGGGTTTCCCTGGCCTGGGGGTGAAGAGCAGTTGGTTCCTAGTTCGGGTTCTGCCACTAGGTAACTGCAGGAAAAGGGAGTGGGGACACTGTTGTGAAGCAAGTATTTGGGTCTCTGCCTCAGTGTAAAATAATGAGTATATTTCACATAGCAAGTAAAACACTCCGTTCTCCATCTTCGTTAAATGTAAGAGAGAACTTGCAGAAGGAAAAGCTGTTCTTGTGTAAGTTTTAGGACAAACCTCCCATGCTTGTAATAGAATGCCTTTAGGATTAGTGTTATTTTGGTTGGTAATCGTCCAGACATCTTTTGATAGGCTTAAGGATACTTTATTTAGGATGATATACCTACATTTCTACCTATTTATATCTCTCTATTGTATGCTTTTTTTTTTGCACAAATGGGACCACCCCCATAAGCTACTTTTTTCTCTCTCTGTTTGCTTAGTCATTTTTTTCTTTTTTAAATATATATTTTATTGATTTCAGAGAGGAAAGGAGAGGGAGAGAGAGATAGAAACATCAATGATGAGAGAGAATCATTGGCTGCCTCCTGCACGCCCCCTACTGCGGATCAAGTCTGCAATCTGGGCATGTGCTCTGTCTTGGAACCAAACCATGACCTTCTGATTCATAGGTCGATGCTCAACCACTGAGCCACGTCGGCCGGGCTATATCTGCTTAGTCATTTTGACTGGCTGCAGTGTATACATGATAACCTGTAATAGCAATAAACACTGAGTGTGTCTTGATTTAGAATACCATACACACTGCTATAGGAAATAGCCTTTGAGTATGTTTTGTTATTCACTTGGGCAGTTATCCCTTTTGGGTAAATGCTGTCTAAACGCTAAGAGCATTTAAAAGTGTGATACGTTTGCTGCATTTGGGGAACATGTTCGAAATGGTTTCCACTTTCAGCAACGCTAGGAAGCTCTTTCCCCACCAGTTACCTGCCATGGGCTTTGCTGATCTTACATGTTTTTGCCAATCTTATGAATGGAAAAGAAATTCCATTTTACTGGCAATTTTATTTCTCCATGAGTGAATTTTAAGAGCCCTTGTATATATAGTTGTAAATTCTTTTTCTTTATCATTAGTGTTTTAATTTTGATTAAAGTAGTTTTCACTTCAATTCAGAAATGTTGAACGATTAAATTAATTAAATATAAGCTATTTTCTTCTTTTGTTTTAAAATTTCAGTCAGGTTTAACCTTTTTTGAATCTGATGAGTATACCTGGAGGTATAATAATCTATTAGTAGTAAAACGTAATGCTTTGACAGTGAGTCTGGGTTTTAGATAGAGCCAAAAGTCACTTTCACGTGGGTGGCAACAGTTAATGTAGCTAGACAACATTTTGGCACCTAAATAGAGATGTGACTGTATATAGTCATGAAGTTGATATTCTTGTTTATTTCTGAATGAAGTTATAGGAGTGAAGTCCCACAAATGAAATGTGTCAAACAGGCAGGGTGCCCTAGAATAATCAAGCCTGTCTTGGGGCAGAATTATACGTTGGTAATATGTGATCTATTTGCTTTACATTTTTAAATTATTGATACATTTCTTCATTGAGAACCCAAAATGTTTTCATCAGGCTCCCTGGATATGAACCCTGAGACTTCCAATGCTTAGTTGTCAGACCCTTTCATTCTGTACCATGTGAGGCTTCTGAATTATATCTGAATTATCGGTTTAAGAGAGGTCAGTTGGGTACTGGAATGAAAGAGTAAAGTATCGCACGATCTCAGAGGTGCATTTACATGGAGATATTTATAAATGATAAGATCTGATTCCTGTAACTGGGACATGTCCTGGGACTTCCCCCTGGGAATCATATGGACAGAATTTGAACATTTGTGTTTTATGCAGATTAACTTGGGCAGGCCTGCTGCGGCATCCGTTTTGGAAGGATGCTTTTACCAGAAGAGATCAGGACTCGAACACCGAGGACTCCAGCATCAGGTAGGATCAGCTAATCTTTGTGTGTGGAGCATGACTGCTAAACACTCCTACGCATTAGTGTTCTAATGATTCAGCATCAATGACAAGAATTTCTGTGCTTTAGTAGAAAAATCAAGCATTTGTTTAAGGGTTGTTGAAAGAGTTTCGTCATGACATTTTTGTGTTCTTGATTTTGCGGGTTTTCCGATCAGTCGTTTCAACTCGAGTCGTTGATTTAGTATGGTAGTTATCAGTTCTGTTTACCAGCTACAAGTGGCTTCCCATCTTGCAAGCATGGGGTAGGGTCTCATTGCCCCCTTTTCAGTTAGGTGTAGTCATGTGACTTGCTCTGGCTAATGGAATGTGAGCAGAGTGATGTGTGTTATTTCTGGATAGAAACTTGAAAGCCAGTGTGTGATCTGCTGCACTTCTCCTGGTGAGTTCATTGGGAAGAAAACTGTCAAAAGGGAGTTGCTGTCAGGCTGGGTCTTTAGTGCCCATGATGAGCATATCTTTCCCACCAGCCTGCATGTCTGTGCCTGAGGAAGATACACAGATACGAGATTCTGAGCCACTGGCGTTTGAGGGGTTGTATGTCACCACAGCATAACCAAGCTCACCTTGACTAATATACTTTGTTTTTATTATAAAAATCTTCTTAGCCCAGGACCCTTACAAAATTGATGGTATTTGGAAAAGAACAGGTGAGAAGTAGCTGAATAAAAGTTCTGATAATTGACTTTTTCCCCTCCTTACCTCATTGTGATAAATGGTTGTCTGATCCTTATTTTTAATCTTGGCAAGTTCATTGTCTTGGATAGAGGAGTCTGAATTCTATTTGAAGTCTTTCCCAAACTTGAGTTTCTCTGAGCCAGTGAGCTTCAGATATGCTATCACTATTGTGTTAGGTGCTACAGAGAGCTGGGTGCTGGTCCGCAGTGTCAGCAAGTCACAGAATACCTCCGACCTTAGTTTGTCATCTTCCTTTTTAACCTCCTTGCCTTTTATTTCTTTTTTCTGCCTTATTGCCCTTGCTGGGACTTTTCCCCGGTAAGATACTGAGTCAGGAGTGATGAAAACGAACATCCTTGCCTGGTTTCTGCTTGTAGGATGAAAGCGCCTTTCCCCATTAAGAACGATGAGGTGGAGGTTTCTGTCGCTGCCCTTTTTCAGTTTGAATGAAGGCTGAATTTTACTGAATGCCTTTATGTATTGGGTAATGTGATCATGTGGTTTTTCTTCTTTAGATTCTCATTATGGACTCTTTCATAAATCGGCTTTCAAATATTGAACCAGCCTTGCATTCCCACAATAAAGTTATCGTGTGTGACAGTTTTTGTCTTGCTGGCTGTGTTTGTGGCCTAGTGGCGGGAGGACAGGGAGAGAGGCTGAGAAAGAGAGCGGAGCCCCAGGGGTTTGCCCCACATTCTTGAGACCGTAGCTTTTTGGTTAGAGAAGAGGATGACCCCCTCTGTGAGTGTTAGGCACTGGCCAGATGCTGCTGCTGTTCCCAGCTCGCTGCTGCAGGGTTACCTGGGGGCCGGGGCAGGACGGAACGGAAAAAGAAAAGGAACACCTAGGGGATGTCCCTGCTCTGACCCAAGAGGTCCCTTTCCTGTCCTTGGAACAGAAACAGAGGGCTTCTGACGGGCTTCCTCTGTCTAGTCGCTGCCTTCGAGCCCAGGCTGGGCAGCACCGGGAGGGGAAACTCCAGGGAGACTCATGTTGGGTCACGGCTACTTTGAGTTCTGGTTTCGTCCCCAGTCTGCCAGCTGCTACTTATTTTTCTGGGAGAAGGTGTAGAGACTTCTTCACACACTGCCCTGCTCGTAGCGGTGCTCATAGTCACTGCTCCATGAAATATACTGCTTTTCTCCATGGCTTTGCCAAATGTCACATGTAATTTAGTTATTTCCAACCTCTTGTTCGACACAGAAAGCTGTGTAGAAAGCTCACAAGTAAGTTTGATTGTGTTGACTTTCTCCTGTTGAGCAGCAGAAACATGATGGAATGTTCCGGGTCACAAGATGCCAAGGAGCGTGTGAGGAGCCCCCCGAGCGGACAGGCCAGAGGGGAGAGGAGTGGTCAGCGGCCGAGTCGCTCTTGGAGACTAGGTGGGCTTCCATCCGAGCGTGTGTGCGGCCCAGAATGCCGTGTTGGAGAGTCCCCTCCGCGTTCGTGCTGTCTTTCTCTCTCAGTCCCTGTCTGCGGACGCTCCGCTCATGGTACCTGTTCCTTCATGACTAACGTTCTCCTTTCCTGCCACAGAAGATCCAGCTGAGTTGCGGCCTAAGAATACTCTTGGGGGTCAACTGAATGAGTCCATGTTCCTTCTCAGGTGGGTGAAGTGACAGAGCAGTGAGGGGTCCCCGGCCGGGGGATGAAAGTACATCTTATTACAGCATCTGTTGTCCTGGATTTTAAAAAAGCTTTGTGTACTCCCGGGCATTTCCTGTGCGCTAAGTCAGTACTTGTTTAATGAATGAACAAACAGACAAGTAAGTGAAAGAGAAATGGGAATCCTGATATTTGGGAATTTGAAGGAGTTTACTAAAGAAGACCCTGGGGATCTGAGTGAATTTCTTAAAATGTGAAAAACTGAAAATCAGAGACTCGGGGTGGCGGGGGGAATGGAGTGCCCATCAGGGGCACGGAGGCCACTGACAGGTGTGGGCGGAGTCATTACAAGTAGATGTGGGTTTATAGCACTCCTCACTCAGCAGGCACCAAGAAACCTTTCCATATTGAACATCATCTGAAATAAAATTGTGAATATTATTCATCCTTTGTGGAATATCTGATGTATTTTGTTACGTTAATCCTGCTCACACCAGCAGACATTTAAAGAATAATAAAATCATTGTTGTAAGGTTTCCAGTAAAAACAGAAAATACTGCGTGGAGCATAGAAGCTGTAAACAAAAAACCCCCACACACAATAAATTAGCCAGGGAATTACTTTAAAAAGTTATAAAAATAATAGTCATGTAAACACAGATAAGATGAAATGTTTTTTATATGATGAGATCACAGAGAATTAACGTATTCTGCCCTTTTTCAGGAGACCTGTTTTCATTTTCCCCGGCATACAGTAAGCGGAGGGTGAAGTTTCTGACGTGTGAGTAATGGCACTGGTGTGTGTGTTTCAGTTCTCGTCCTACGCCGCGAACCAGCACTGCCGTGGGGTCAGGTCCTGGTGAGGATGTGGCCCAGAGTTCACCGCAGAAGGCGCCTCCTTCGACCAAGGTGAACAGCAATGGATTGTTTCTTGTTTTTTGTGTGTTTTACATGAGATATAGAGATTCTAAAGAATAATTGCAAGTTGGTTTCCGAACTATGTTGGTGTTTACAAAATTTACAATTAAGTCATTGCCTTATCATTGGTTTTTTCTAGTAAGCACACTTAAGAGAGAGGTACTTTATAGTTTTTTTAAAATATATTTTTTAATTGATTTCAGAGAGGAAGAGGGGGAAAGAGATAGAAACATCCACGATGAGAGAGAATCATTGATCAGCTGCCTCCCACAAGTCCCCCACTGGGGAACGAGCCTACAATCTGGGCATGTGGCCTTGACCAGAATCGAACCTGGGACCGTTCAGTTCACAGGCCAACACTCTATCCACTGAGCCAAACCCGCTAGGGCATATAGGTTTTTTTTGTGTGTGTTTTTTTTTAAATAACAGCTTCATTGAGCTATCATTGATGTACCACGTAATTCACCCATTTAATTCACCCATGCGAAGATCAAATGATACTCCCTGTCAAAGTGTTTTGAGTATCAGTTGAGGTACATTAGAGATGACCTTGCTCAGCGTCTTATTAGTTCAGTCTTTCAAAGCTCTTCATTAGGCACAGAAACAGTCTAATTTTTGTTGTTTCAGACCACAGGTGGGCACCTGAGCCAGCAGGACATGGAATCCCAGATGAGGGAGCTCATCTACACAGACGCAGAACTCGTCGTCACGCCGATTATTGACAATCCCAAGGTGCGGAGAGATTACCCCCCCCCCCCCGCCCCCTCCCCCGTGGGCTGGGTTTTCCATTTCACTGAGGACTGACGTCTGGGTGATGTTTTCATTTCTGTTCCTCTTGTCGTCCGCTTGGGTTTCATTTGAACCACACACATGTCCACACGCCTAACTCCCGCCCTGTCTGTAACCCTCTCTCCTTCCTGCCTGGGCGGTGTTCTTCCTGCCCCGCACCCCCCCTGCCTCCCATCAGTCCAGCCGGCCCAGGAGTGGCTGCTGACTCAGACCTCAGACCTGAGTCCTCGAGGCCTTCCTTTCTCAGCACGTGCTTAACGTGGATCACGCCAGATGTTCTAGTTCAGCGGTTCTCAACCTGTGGGTCGCGACCCCTTTGGCGGTCGAACGACCCTTTCACAGGGGTCGCCTAAGACCGTCCTGCATATCAGATATTTACATGACGATTCATAACAGCAACATTACAGTTATGAAGTAGCAACGAAAATAATTTTATGGTTGGGTCACCACATGAGGAACTGTATTTAAAGGGCCAGAAGGTTGAGAACCACTGTTCTAGTTGATGGTGTTAGGAAGGCAGATGGCAGTGAGCACCACTCACCAGGCGTGGCTGGGTGGGCCGATCACAGAGACCACGCCCTCTCATAGGTTATCAGGACGCAGGTGGGCGGTGGCAGACCCTGGGAGCTGGGGGACTCTGGGTTCACTTCTACCCCAGGGGAATCCTGTCGCTTCCTGTCGTTTGGAAAGCAATGCTCCGTTACTAGGGATGAGTGCCTTCCTTGAAAAAATGTCATTTCTCAGTCCCTTTGTTTTCTGTTGACGCCCAGTCTCCAACACATTCCTCCACTATCTATTCTGTATGTGAATTTTTTTAAACTGTCTTTTTCTGTGTAAATTTGTGACCGTTTCCTCTCATCTCATCAGGGAACATTGCTCTGGTTTAGAGTAAATGGGTTGTTGGATGTGTGCGTATTTGCTACAAAGACAGCATTTCATATAGATGACCCAGCGATTTTCACAACAGAGCGACTTCTTTTTATGAGTTTAGATACCTGGCAGAATAACTGGATGTTACATCAAATTTAATAGGTAACGGGGCATTTTCCCAGTGGACCTTCTAAACAATTTGTGAATTTTTTAAAACCATATTCTATTTTTTTATTTCATCTTATAGCCACATATGGTTGTTTCTGGGAAATGTTAGCTGTTTTTTAAGCATTCTTACTATAGGCTTTTATTTTGAACTGATTTTAGACTTCTAGAAAAACGTTAGAAAATATTAGCGTTCCTCCCTATATACCTTTTCCCCAGTTTCTCCTAATGTGAACATCCCACAGGACCACAGGTGGTTAGCAGACCCGGTGGATTACCATTAGCACGGTGCGAATTTTTGCCAGCTGTGACCCTGACGCCCCTTTTCTGTTCCGGGACCCACATTTCAGATTATGTTTCCTTGCTCTCCTTGTCTTTCCCAGCCCTGTGGTCATTTCCTAACCTCTGCTTGTTCTTCATGACCTTGACACTTGGAAGTGGTCAGGTGTTTTGTAGAATGTCCCTCCACTTAGGTTTGTCGAAGGCTTTCTCTTGATGAGAATGAGGTTGTCTATTTCTGGCAAGAATACTACCAGCCAAGGCCTTAAAAACGCACTATGGATTTTGGAGAAGTGAGACGTAGAAAGGTGATGGTTGAGTATTTAATTAAAAGCCTCAAGAGGAAGGACTCCAGCTGCTCCAGACTCATGCACTTACCTATTGAGGCTGTCACAGCTTCCTGGAGCGATGTGGTCTTGAATTCAGCCTTCAAGTCCTGGCCATTCCTACGACCTCAGTCTACCTCCTACCTCTTCATAAACCTTGTCCTGGCCACATCAGCCAGAAGGGCTTGCTGCCTTCTCTCATGCTTAAAAACACTCCTCTCGTGAGATGTTTTGTCTGTGATTATGTCCTGCCTGTTCTGCACTGTTACTTCAGTTTTTTTGTTGTTTAACAAATGTCTGTGTTGTTACCCGAGTGGCAGCTCTCTGACAACAGGATCACGTCTTCTGTGTGTGTGTCTGTGTCCCTAACACTGAGCATGGACCTACTCTGGCAGGTCCCCAGCGCGTGTTTTGTTCAGTGACCAAATTTCTCACCTAGAGGTAAATTAGCTTAAAGTAAGCCGCAGTAGGGCATGTCTTTCATGAAGCTTAATTTTGCTTCAAATATCAATGGAAATGATCTTATTTTTATAAATCATCATCCATATTTGTATATTTTAATCCGAAAGGGCACTGTTGAGTTCTTATGGGTGACAAATTTTACAGCATTCCTTTCTGTCCTCACTAATTTATAATGTGATCTAGGCGATAAATCAGGAGCCAATGTCTGTCTCAGAAGGTGTTTTTTTTTCTTTTTTAAACCACAGATCATGAAACAACCACCAATTAAATTTGATCCAAAAGTATTGCATCTACCAGCATATTCAGGTAGGCTCATAAAGGTTTAGACACTTTGCAGACAGACATTTAATAGCACATGGAATATTTTATTCACGAATAGCTAAATTTCTATTTTCTTGCCAACTGGTTGTCCTCTTGGCAGTGCTATGCAAATTGTAAACAACCTGTAATCCATTTGTGCCAGCTTTTGACGGTACTCAGCTGAGTCTGGGCTGCCCTGTGCTCTTGTGGGTGGGAGAGTTCCTGGAAAGCTGGATGGCTTTTCCTGTTACGTGGGTGGGCCCTTCTCCTGCCCTTCCCCTGGTAGAGCCCATTGAATTTCCAACGTTTGTGGTGTTATTGTGGGTGTGGAGGGTTGGAGACCACAATGAAGAATTGAGAGTCTACTCAAGGAAGCCAGGGCAGTTGAGAATGGGACCAGATGGTTCACTTTTGTGGGGATGGTGTGGGAATGGATGTTGGGGTCCAGCCCCAGCAGGTCCAGGGGTTCCCAAAGGTGTGGATGGAGTCAGCGAAGAAGGGCGACTGTGTCAAGCAGCAAGGATGGACTGGCTTCCGGCAAATGGAGATACTTAAAAGAAGATTGTTATGTTTCCTTTCACCTACTGGAAAGTCTGATTTAGGGTGAACGTCAGAAATTAAAACAATAAAAAGAAATTTAGAGAGATGTCATCAATCCATTGCCTCCTGCACACCCCCTACCGGGGATTGAGCCAGCAACCCAGGCATGTGTCCTGACTGGGACTAGAACCAGCAACCTTTCGGTGCATGGGATAATGCCCAACCAACTGAGCCACACCGGCCAGGGCAGAAATGTTTTTATACCATAAACTTGGGTGTATTTTATTTGATAAAGCTATTGAACTAGATTTGGAAAAATTTCATCATCGTGGCTAGAGTAGAATCTCTGATTTGAAATAAAATCAAAGTAAATTAAAAACATAAAATATGGGCAAATTTAAATAAGCCATGCCAAGTAGAACCACTATTGATGAAAACGTAGAGGATTACTATAAAATAATATTCCTTCCCCTTTGCCCTTTACTTTGACTTATTCTGGGAAATGGCTGTTGTAGTTTATCTTGTTTGAAGGTGGAGATCTGCTCAGCCCTGTTAACTGGGGATGGCATCTCTTTCCTAGTTTTGGCCTGTGTTTGTACAGGGACGTGGAGGCAGGATCCCAGGTGACTTCAGCTTTCGTATTCACCTTGTGATGTTGAATAGTAATTTCATTGGAACCTTTTAACAACTGTAAAATCTTTGGCTTTTCCAATATTCTAAGGCTAGATTGCTTTATTTACAGAAAGACTTGTTTTTTTTCTTCATAATACAATTTTATTTAACTTGGCGTTTTGTATTATTCTCATTTGCAGGATAATTCTCCTTGAGGCATCTCATTTTTTTTTCCCCCAGCATAGTTCTAAAAGTCTCCAGTGGAAGAAAGTGAAATGAGTATAAAAGAGTAAATGAGAACAGTGTCAGCTTTGGAGTAGTTTTGATTTTGACATTGTGAAGTCACGACTTATTTTGTCCTCAGCTATCGAAGTCCTGTTCCATTTCATTTCTCCCGAGATATTTTCGCGGTGCTTTTTCACGAGACCCACTTTCAATATTTCCTTTCCTCTGCAGTGGACAGGTTAGTGTCCCTGAAAGACCAGGACTGGAACGACTTTCTGCAACAAGTGTGCTCACAGGTCGACTGCGCCGAGAAGACCATGGGCGCCTCCCGGGCCAAGCTGAACCTCCTGTGCTTCCTGTGCGTGGTGGCCGGTCAGAGGGAGGTGGCCACCAGGCTCCTGCACTCCCCCCTGGTAGGTGGTTACGTTGTGACAGCAAGACCCCTCGCACGGCCCTTGCAGCATGCCTTCTGCATGTCTCTCATGTGTATCTATAGAGATTGAAACAAGAGCTAAATTGTTAATTCCAATTATAATGAAAAGGGGATTTATCAAGATCATAGGTTTGTCAAAACTATCCTCTGTTTCATCCTGAAGTCTAAGAGCAGTTGCATAGACAGTGATTTTGAACTTGTTTTGCTCATACTCTGGCTTGCATTTTATGTTGACTTGTAACAATTGTGTGACATTTTTCACATCTGAAATCATAGGACAGAGATCAGTCTGTGGAATGAGCTGCC